GAGCTGAGGACAACCCAAATGAGTCTCCTGTAGCTGACTGTAATGGATTATACAAACTGAATTAACTGCAATGCTTCCAAGATAGCAGTAGCAAGTTGATTGTTTGGTGTTTACTTCTTAAGCTGGCTATACACTGTTCCGATTTGAGATTCGAACCAGGTATTGGCAGGCTGAATGTACCAAAGTTGACCAATCAACTTGGGTACAACAGGCCTGTCAGATTTTACATGCAATTATTGCTAGAGGCTATTAGAATGGGTAGCAGTGATCACTGTGTTCTCCCAGCGGGGACGGCTCCCACCGTCCAGGACAACATAATGGTTCCATGGAAGGGATTCCCCCATCAAAACTGACTGTGTTGATGGGGGGAATCGAACGATTTTCTGTCCTGCAACCAGAAAATAGCTCCATCTCTGGCTGGCTTTAGAAATATTCCTGAAATTCTGTTTGTTGCTTGTGCAGGTGGATCAGACTACAGTATACTACATATACATCTACTGTAATGAACAGCTGAAATGCTTGCATAGACAAAGCATCTGGTCCATTTACAGTTCCCACATGGTAGCAATGAACAACCTAATACTTCCCAAATGAGCATGATGGACACCTGAGAGGCTGCACAGTTGCTACATTACAGGGGACAAGACAGGTAATGAATGCTATTTATAAAGGAGATGTTTATGCTTCTTACCCCATAATGTTATGCTTGACAGAAAGGCGTAATCAGAGACATGTTATAGGACAGCTTTACCTAAAACATCAGTTGTCTCAATAAAATGTATGAATACAAATTTATAGAAAGGTAAGTAGAGGATTCTTGTAATATATATTGGTAGCTCTGAATAGAAGGTAATGTGTGTTTAGTTTTAAATGGAGAGCATGCATTTTCTCTGAAGGTTGTACTGAACATGCATTGACATATTTGAAAGTGATGTTTGAATCATTATTCAAAGTCTAATATATCAGATTATTATGGTAGCCCTATGTTTATGAAAAGAATATTGCTGGATTCCATACTCTGTATCACAAAGCTCTGTGGTATAAAACGGACAGTCTGCATACATTCAACATGGCTCCTTTCACTTCTTCAGGTCTGGGGAAAGTAAAAGCTTCAGACGTATCTGGCCAGTGATTAGGCTTGTTCACACACGAGTCAAAACAGGCCACTTGAAGAATTTCTCATGCCATCCAAGGGCTCCCAGATGCACAAATGCCTGGTAAGCCAATTGATTTATGTTGCATTTTGTGAATTAGTCTAAAGCATGGGATACAGAATCTAGTCTTGTTCATTCAGACTGCACACTCTAAAGGGGTTTATTCCTCCTCTGCATCGAGAGCCCCAGATAGCATTCAGAAATGTGGCACTATGGGCTTCCTTAGCTAGTGGATATGCATAAGAGCTGTAAAAAGTACCTGCCATTTGTATATAATGAGAGCACATATTTCATGAGCTGGACCAATACATCAAAGCATCAGCCAATCCATTTCCTTGTAACTTGCAGTAGTTGGGCCCACTGCTAGGCTCAATAAAAGTGCCAGCCTACTTTGGTGATGGGAACAGATACCAAACTGGGTGTATGTGATGCACAAAAAACCAATTGTGGGGACCCTGGAGTGGGTCCAAAGATTCCTGCAGGTTACTGTTTCCTCTGCAATATTTTGCTAGATGCAGTTGGTGGCCAGGCTCCATGCTGATCTCTACATTGCACAGTGGATGAAAACTAAAGTGTCCAACAGATTGGGGCCCTGTGGACCAATCCAAAATCTAGTTGGTAATCTTTAAGAGGCCATGGAACATGTGCTCCCAGTGTCAACAAAAAGAATGTAGAATTTTATAGGGGCATAATCTCACTGGTTCCTGGGGATTGACCAGCCTTCGGCCAGGCAGATACGTCTTCTAAAAGAAGATTTTTTTGCACCTTCCCGATGTCAAAGGGAACTTGTATCCTCTAGACCCAAATTTATGCATACTGTACTAATCGGGTTATTGGGTAATTGGCTAACTGAATATAGCATTCTCTTCAACCCTGCTACATATAAGGGTTTTCAGTAACAGCAAGTACCAAGGCCTTCACTAAAATTATAGTGAGAAAAGGAAGCAGTGAGATGTTTCTTCCTTTCTTCTTTTTTAATATATAAAGGGCTTTTCCTCTTTAACTCCAAAAATTACATAAAGTTTATATACATAGTAGACTGTCAGTGTACTAACATGATTGGTCCTACCCATCCCCCTTAACAACAGCAGGACCTTTGTATTGCTGTCTAAATTTGATTGGCAACCCATTACAACAGGATAGTGATGAAAGGTTTAAATTTCAATCAACAATAAAAACCCATAGCCAACCGTGAAGGTGGTGAAAAAAAGCGGACCCGCCATGTTTCCACTCTAGAAACCTAAATCCAGTGATCACTTTAAGTGGAAAACCACTAAGGTGGAAGAGGCCAAAGGAAGCATTTCTCAGTATGACTATTAGTCACCAATATTTGTAAATATTAGGAAACTATTCCTAATTTTTTCAGTGGAAAGTTTAGTACTGAACAGGAAAACAAAAACATGATCGTGGCAATGTAACAAACACAAAAGTGTTGGGATCCAAAAGTTTGCATATAACTCAGTTGTTGAGAAATAAATAACATTGAACCACAGCCGCCATTAGCGGCATCGCAGACAGACCAAGCCACAAGTGCAATGTGACTGCTTATCTGCAGTCTCGCCTCAATCATCAGCAACAGGCACTTTTAATAGAATAAATGGTGATGCCCCATATCAACTCTGCCTTTCCCAGCAGATATGCAACAATAACTGCTGGGGGGAGACATCCGAACAAATTTTTTTCCTTAGAGTAACCAGTGGCAGAAACTGTTTGGATAGGAATTGCACCAACATACCAGCAAGCGCACATCCTGGATTTCACCCATAGTGACAACAGTGTTTTTACCTTTCTCCAAATGAATACAGTCGCATTTCAGTGCAACAAAGCAACAAGAACATTTAAGACGAATAAATATCTAAAGCCCTGGAAGGCTTAGTCAATCCCTTGTGAAACCAGCAGGCCGCACAACAGGCTGATATGTGTTGCGTGTCCATGCGGTGTTGGAGGGATAAGAAGGTCAAGTCATTTTGTCTTCGTTTGCATTGTTTCTTTGCTACATCAAGGAAGACGTCTGTAAGTTCTGAAGTGCCAGGTGGATGTGTAAACCTCTAGTTTTCCCCCACATCAACTCTTATCTTGCATAACTGGTCCTGGTTTATCGCCAAGCCTCTAAGTAGAAAGAGAATAGTTTTAAAGGACAACCACATCATTCGAGATCTCAACGCACCCAATAAAATACGTTCGGTAACTCCATGACCTCTACTTGGATTGTGAACTATACAGATCAGAAGCAGAAAACATAGGACTAAGCAACAGCAATAGGTTTGCTTTAAACACACACCAAAAAAAAAAGAAAAGTGTCTTCTACCTGGGGTGAGCAAGTCACAGCCCATGTATTTCAATAGAAGTTGGTAAAATCTATTCAAATTAAAGTCTCAGCGACTTTAAAAAATTCCTGCACTACTTTGGTGCGACTCTCATGTAACTTGAGTGCCACAGACTGCAATGTAAACTCTTTCAAAGTTGCATTAGAGTTGCATCCTAATGTTATCAATGTGACAGTTGTGCATGAATCAAAGCCAAAATCAACTGTCAAAGTCTTGTCCAAGTCACATCAAAGTTGCAGTGGAAATCGCATGATTTTGGAATCACACAAGTGTTAATGAAGCCTAATTTGTGAATGGGGAAAGAATGAAAGGATCTGCTACAGCTGCAGATCCATTCATTCAGGGTTTTTTGACACTGGGATCTTTTTAACCCTTTCACCCGCCCTTCCTCTCCTATACATATGATCTAAGCTCTACATGTGACCTATATATTGCCCCCCTCATCTCTCTTATCCTAAAATCTGCACAGTAACCCCTTCATCTCCATCCTGTCACTGCTAGTGCACCATCACCAAGCTCCGTGTTTTAACCCTTTCCATACCAGCATGTTTCTTCATTTGCTCAAAATAGTAAAAGAAAAATTAGATCACCTTGACATCAAATATCCAAAAAAAAGGGGTAACTTGGGGGGGGTTGTTACTACTGCCCTGCCATTTCTATCTGCTATGCTTTTTTTTGCTCTTGTTAAAGAGTCTGTTGCACCTAATTCAAAACACCTGCAACAGTTTTGGTTTCAACAGTGATTTGCGTCAAATTCAGGTAGTTCTAATTTACTCCACCTCTATGTTATATGAGGCATGTAATGGAAACTTACTGCCACTTTCTGGACTGTGCTGTCAGTGTGCATGGCTAGAAAGGGGTTGGCGGCGGTGGAATGGAGTGAGGTGGCCTGTGCTCCAGCCAGCAGGTTGTTCAGTGGTAGTTGTGCTGCAGTAGGAAGCTGCAGCTGCTGTAATTCAGTGTGGTGGTGGTGTTGCTGTGGGTGTTGGTGGTGCTGCATTAGTTGATAAAGTAGAGCATGATGCTGTTCCTGGAGGAGAGAAAGAAAAGGAAGTTGATGAAGACATGGAAATAGTATTAGCTGTAGCTCAATACATCTGCCTGCATAAAAAGAAAGGGTTTAAAAAGAAAAGCCTGGAGCAAACAGACTGGAGTTGCTGCTTAGTAAGAAAACATGATTATTTGGGTAGCCTGGCAGCAGCCGACTAATGGTGGCGTATGCTACAGTTTTTTGACTGCAGTCATCCATAATGACAGAGATATGGGGGTAGGTGGAGCTCAAACTACAGAATTACAAAAAACAAACCAATGTCTGGATATATATACACGTCTGGGCATATATATATACACACACACACACACACACACAAATACACACACACGTCTGGGTATATGTACACACACACACACATATATATATATACACACACATATACATACACACACTGGTATATATGAGCTGTAAAATCTTAGATATTTCAAGTGAAAGATCACAGAAGGATTTCTAATCCTAGTACTGTTAATTCCGATTATGTCTTTCAGTCTCACCCATGGCCCTGTCATGTACATAACTTACAGGAGTGAGCTGCTGAGAACTCAGGAGCTGCTGGAACTGCTGGTGTTGCTGGTGAAGGAGGAGCTGCCTCTGCTGGTCAGAGAGAAGTCCTAATCCTGAGGCACTAGAACAAGAAAAGATACATTCTTCTATTAATTCTGCATCAATTAGATGTGCACCTCCATGGAATAGAGGAGGCGGTAAAGATCAAACCTAACCATGAGTCTACAGACAGCCATAAATGCAAATTAGAGATAGACACAAGCCTTGAAAACTTTGTACTTTTAGAACAATGAACTAATTCTGCTTGAAATGATAGCGTTCGTATGTGGTCAGACACTAAATGGTATCTGACCAAGCAGTTTCAGTGACCAGTCTACGTTAAAGAGGAACAGAACTCCCTACTAATGATGCAGCCAAAGGTTTATTGGAGCTTACATTAGTAAGATCTTCCTAAGGATAGCTACACTCCATGTGTGTGAAAATCATGAGCAATCATGGGTGATCTTACTAGTGTGCTTTCTCTAGCACCCCACCCAATCTTAGACTGCTGTCACACGGATCTGTTGTAAAAAAAAAAAAAAAAAAAAAAAAGTTAAAGAAAAATGTGTGACCATGTATTCCTATAGAGCTCTTCAAAATGAGGTGTCACCCATCCTCTGGAACTCCCTGTCCCAACCCATCAGATTAGCACCTACTCTCCTCTCCTTTAGGCGCACCCTGAAAACCCATCTCTTCAGGGAAGCCTACCCCACCCCCTGCTAACCTGCCGACCTCCTCCACTCTTCCTACCACTCCATCCCCCACAGCTATCTCCTCCTGTGCCCCCATCCCCTCCCTCCTAGATTGTAAGCTCGAAAGAGCAGGGCCCTCGATCCCCTCATGTTTTGCATTGTATTGGTATTGTTCTGTCACATGTTCTGTCCCCCTTTGTAATGTACAGCGCTGAGCGAATCATTGGTGCTTTATAAATACTGTATAAAAAAATAATAATCTGTTGCAGGTCTAGTGTGTTTTTTTTTTATCCTTTTTTAAATCCTTGCTTGCTGCATTTTTGGTGCGTTAAAAAAATCCACCAAAAAAGCACATCCCTATTGAAATCAATGGAAAATGAGGGCAAAAAGCATCAAAATGCACCTGCATTGCGTGTTTGGTGCAGTTTTTGAGTAACATATCGTGTAAAAATGCACCAAAAACATGGTAAAAATGCATATGCATTTTGGCTGTGTTGTTGCTACAGATCATTGTGAAAGCCTAGGCTCAAAAGAGACTTGGTCAAACTATGGAGGGTATCCAAAATGTCACAAAGAGCACAGGATTCACATCTGACGAGTATGGTTAAGGCAAGAGCCCTGAAGAAATGAGTAGTCTGTGCCATCTCCTTGGTTTCTATAAAGAAGGTATAACCTTTGTAACCTGCTCCTCAAGAGTCCTAATAAAAAATCTTTATCTGTTCCAGCTTGCCAAACATTAGGACAGCCACCAAACTGTAAATCAAAAGGCCTTTAGCAGCCATCCTTAGATTAGGCTTACTACTCATCATAATGGTAACTTAACACTCACAAGTCCTGTATTTCATTATTAGGAATCCAATAATGTATTTTTTTCTATATGACCTTTGAAGATAACCCCTCCAGAAAGTTATATTCACCTATATGAGCTCCTTTGCTGACTTCATTTCCTATCTGAACCTTGGCTTCATTGCTCTGATGGAGTAAAGCTTCCAGGTATGGGGAGCATGTGACTTTCCCATGTCATAATGCCTGGGCCTGAGCAGCCAATCAGAGCCAAACATTGCCCCATGGGCAAGAGAAATCTAACCCACTCAGGTAAGCTCAATCATCTTCTAAAACTGTAGCTTAACCGGCGTGGACTCCAGCAACATCAAGACGGCGAAGGAGTGTGGATCAGCGAGTATACTGTGTTGGGTTGGGGAGTGTGGCAGGCTATCAGGATGTATTGTCACTATGCTTTTACTTACAATGCATCCAGAAAAGTACTCACCGTGCTTAACTTTTGCCACATTTTGTTATGTTACAGTCTTATTCCAAAATGGATTAAATTCATTTTTTTCCTCAACGTTCTACAAACAATACCCCATAATGACAACGTGAAAGAAGTTTGTTTTGAAATCTTTTAAATTTTTTAAAAATAAAAAAATCCACATGTACATAAGCATTCACAGCCTTTGCCATGACACTCAAAATTGAGCTCTGGTGCATCCTGTTCCCACTGATTATCCTTAAGATGTTTCCACAGCTTGAATGGAGTCCACCTGCGGGAAATTCAGTTGATTGGACACGATTAGGAAAGACATAAACCTGTCTATACAAAAAGTCCCAAAGTTAACAGTGCATGTCAGAGCACAAACCAAGCCATGAAGTCCAAGGAATTGTCCGTAGACCTCCAAGACAGGATTGTATCAAGGCACAGATCTGGGGAAGGATACAGGAACATTTCTGCAGCATTGAAGGTCCCAATGAGCACAGTGGCCTCCATCATCTGTAAATGGAAGAAGTTTGGAACCACCAGGAATCATCCTAGAGCAGGGCACCCGGCCAAAATGAGCGATCGAGGAAGAAGGGCCTTAGCCAGGGAGGTAACAAAGCACCCCCAATGGTCACTCTGAAAGAGCTCCAGCGTTTCTCTGCGGAGAGAGGACAACCTTCCAGAAGAACAACCATCTCTGCAGTACTCCACCAATCAGGCCTGTATGGTAGAATGGCCAGATGGAAGCCATTCCTCAGTAAAAGGCAAATGGCAGCCCGCCTGGAGTTTGCCAAAAGGCACCTGAGGGACTCATACCATGAGAAACAAAACTCTCTGGTCTGATGAAACAAAGATTGAACTCTTTGGCTTAAATGGCAAGCGTCATGTCTGGAGGAAACCAGGCACCACTCACCACCTGGCCAATACCATCCCTACAGTGAAGCATGGTGGTGGCAGAATCATTCTGTGGGGATATTTTTCAGTGGCAGGAACTGGGAGACTAGTCAGGATTGAAGGAAAGATGAATGCAGCAATGTACAGAGACATCCTTGATAAAAACCTGTTCCACAGCGCTCTGGACCGTACACTGGGGCGACAGTTCATCTTTCAACAGGACAACGACCCTAAGCACACAGCTCACATAACAAAGGAGTGGCTACGGGCCAACTCTGTGAATGTCCTGGAGTGGCCCAGGCTTGAACCCGATTGAACACCTCTGGAGAGATCTGAAAATGGCTGTGCACCGACGCTCCCCATCCAACTTGATGGAGCTTGAGAGGTACTGCAAAGAAGAATGGGAGAAATTGCCCAAAAATATTTGTGCCAAGCTTGTAGCATCATACTCAACATGATTTGAGGCTGTAATTGGTGCTAAAGGTGCTTCAACAAAGTATTGAGAAAAGGCTGTGAATACTTACAGTATGTACATGTGTGTTTTTTTTTTTAATTTTTAATAAATTGCAAAGATTTCAAAACAAACTTCTTTCACATTGTCATTATGGGGTATTGTTTCTGGATGCACTGTATGTCAGCAGTGTTGAAGGAAGTCCAAAGCAGTGTTTTCTCCAGGAAAGGTAATATATTTATGATTTTCTCATACTGGTATCCATCCCATCAAGACTGATGAAACCTTTACAAGTGAAGTAAAATTAGTTCATTATGAAGACTAACTTCTGTCCGTATATTGAAGACCACACCATAATTTTCTTTCCCTCTAGTTTTTATAACTCCGCACCATAAATTCCTATATCAAAGTAGCAGTTTGCACAGTTATTTGACAGGCCCTGTGGATGTTGTGTTATGAAGATTAAACAAGTGTTCAGAACATATTAAGTTAAAACTTCTACTTTCCATTTAGTCCAGATAAACGCAGTTATAATAAACCACAACAACCAGCAGCCAATAACATCCACCGAGTAAGAAATAGGTAGCCGTTTTATCTCATGTGGTTAAACACTTACCTATTTGTTAGTGTGGAAGAAATAGGATGCGTTACATTAGGTAATATTGTCCCATGAGTAAGGCCAGTGGGTTGGGGCAGTGTAGCTGGGGTCTGGATCACTCCATTCAGAGCCCCGACAATGCCATTAATCGCCAACTGGTTTGCCGGCAATGCTCCAATTATTGCACCCACTCCCGGCACTGTAGGAATAGCTGATGTGACTGTCTGAATGCCACTGGTTAGTGTTCCCATAGTCACACCATTGATTCTTTGGACCCCCTGGACATGCTGGGCTGGACTCTGGCTATCAGGGGGAGGAGTGGAGAGTGATGAAGAGCTGCTGGTGCTGTGACCGCTCGAGGTGAGATCCTGAGAAGAAAATAGACAGAGAGGGGGGGTTTGTTAGGACACTTCACTATTAAAATCTATAGCATTTCACTTCGTTGTTGTGCTGATATTTTAGAGAACTGTAAACCGGTATCAAAACCTTAATGACATTTTTCAATGGGACAGTATTAATTCCGGACACTACAGTACTTACAGCAATGATAGTACAGTAACTTTTCCATGTCTTGTCCCTCCCTCACATCTACGATGGAACAGTGAAAGTAAAAACAGCAAGCTAATGGGCTCATTTCTTTGTCACTTGCTCTCTCCTCCAATGAGCACCTCCCTGTCAACACATGAAAACTGCAGGTAAAACTGCAGCAAGGTTGACTGACTCTTTGTGCTGCCTCTCCTTCTCCTAGTCTATGTTCTGTTTTAAAGGGGGATTACAAGCAGTTTACACCATTCAGAATCAGGTACCTACATCAGTAAATGACACATAAGTTGCATAAGGGCCAGCAGATTGAACCACAGAGTGCAGCAGGGAGCCAAGCATATGACACTCCTGGACAAGTTGGGTTCTGAAGATTCTTCAGGCAATGGTATCCCTTCAATACTGCAAAGACTGCAGTGCTAAAGTATTAACCATCTTTCTCCAGGGTGCATGTAATACAAAATTATTTTTCCAGTGCAGAGCTGCAATAATGTCAGCCTCAATCTCCAAATGATCTCTATTGAACTGTTGGTGGTACAGTGGATTAGATGCTCCAGGGAGCTGTCCTCTGCAACAATCCCCATTTAAAATGCTTTCAAGAACCTGCAGTTCAGTTACACAGAAACTGTACAAAACACAGCACAGCCATCATTGTCAGTAGTATGAAATCCCCGGTATGCTGGGTTTAATCCTGGTTTAAAAAAAAAAAAAAATTACATTTATTCCCAGCAACATACCTGATGTGTGGCTTGATGGGCATTTTCTGTCTGGAAATTTCCCAGGTGCGGGCTTTTACTGATGCTCAGGGAATCTGTGTTTGATGCTACAAAGAAGTCACAAACATATCATGGAGCAATATGTACAGTTTTATTTATTTATTTTTTTAACTGGGACAATAAAATAGGCCATGAATTCCATTATCTGGATCCACACAAAATTATTTTATCTCATAGCAATGAATATCAAAAAGGTTTAAGATAAATTATAATTTTATTGCAACAACTACTCTAAATACACGATTTTAAATAAATAAAATAAAGCAACTGGCAGAATGAGCAATGATTAGTGACACATGCTAGAAAATCCCCCCACCCCCAACATCATTTTATATTTATTTCTATTACCGTAGCTTGGCCCACTTACACAGGAGATCATCGGGACTCTAAACAAGGTAATCAGTGAACACTGCGAGGATCGCCAGCTTTGGCCTTTCAGGAAACTCTTAGCCGTTCAGCTCAAGTGCTTCTTTTGCACATAGACAAGTCAATAACCTTGTGAGGCCATGATGCATACAGGAATACATGATGAAGTCCAAGATATTTACAGTTTTTTGTTTGGTTTTTTTTTTTTTTTTTTTTACTCTGTCCAATGAATTGGGCAATTTTGAAGAAATGTATTTCCAAATATATTTCTTGATGAAGTACACAGAATATTTTGCTATGGGTAATGTAAACCAGACATGGCTTTACTTTTCCAGGATTAGAAGATGTGATATTTTAGAGCAAGCTTAAGCATACTGCATTCAACGTATAATGAAGTGACAACCAAAAATGTCAATGAAATCAGAAATCTTATTATCTCCAAAAAAGTTCAAAAAGCCATACAACGGTGGTTTAATAAAGACCCTTTAACGAAAGAAGATTTAGCACAAAATAACCAAGTTCCAGTGGTTGGTAAAGCTTGTAATAATATGGGGTTCTCTAGAGTAAGCATAGGATCCCATCGTTGGACTAAAAGGTATTGAGAAAACGTCACAATTTATAGGACCGATGGGGACAGCAGCAGCGCAGAAAACCAAGACAAACAAAACCATTCCAAAATGTAAATATGAATCTGCAAAGAAGATCCTGAAGGTTAGAAAATGCACATGTCAGAGCTGTCCTTACCGTTCTGTAATGGGTATGGGTGCACATGGGGAGAGGAGTTTGGGTTGGAGGTAATGGATGGGAAAGGGACAGACAGCTGGGCATTGAGGAGCTGAAGACGCTCTTTTTTGGCATTCAGATTTTTGATTTGCTCCTCCAGTCGCCGGTTCTCCACTTGCAATTGGTGAAGGGATTTCAGCATACCTAAAACTGAAAGCAGAAAAAAGAAAAAAAAAAAAGGTCATCCAGTTTCTTCCAAGAAAGCAGTTCACATTCTGTGCAGGGACAACCTGTAAATAGGCAAAAAATATTAAACAATTATTAAAACAGAGCTAAAATTAACTTCCCTTGTTTGGTTAAACATACCAAACATATGTAGAAACCAATTACACATGTGTGATAAGAGCCCCTGGACCCATGAGAATATATTATTCAGAAGCAGGGAAGCCAGCTCCAGTGCAGTCACACAGTGGAAGGGATATCTGCGATCTGGTTCTGACCACCAATAATCGCAGACCAGAGATTTCCTGCTCTTTGATAAGATGGAAGGGAACAATTTTCCCAGGCAAGCTCATGTGGTGTCACTTGAGTAAAATTTTCACTGACAGTCATCACCTCAACGCCAACAACCACCAACTGGTAAAATGAACATAACCTGGGGAATGAATCCAAGGAAATCCCTTTACGTATTACATTTCTGCTATTGATATAATTTGATCTAGAACCTGACAGCTCATACTAGATTACCTTTTACACAGCACTTGTACATTGCAACCTGGTAAAAAAGGATTCCTATGTCAGCCATGTAAATCTGAGTCTGGGCCTCACTAGATATAACCTTGTATTATGGGAATTAAAGCACCTGAAAAAACTTTATACTTTGAAAATCTCTGTGCCTGTTAAAGGCCAAATAGAGCTTGTTGTACAACATGTCTGCTAATGAAATGCTGGTGAACACAAACTCCAGCAAAAAAGGAACTACTTAGTAACTATTATTGAAACATCCAATAATAGCTTCAGGGTAAAGCATGGTTTAAGTTTTTTCAACCTAGCAAGCTGAACAAAAGAAAAAAACCCGAAAGATGCTGTATCCTGCTATGCTATTGGGTGGGCAGGGCGGGGGACCGCCCGCGCCGCGCCCCCCCCCCCCCCACCAGAACAAACAGATCAGAGCTAGCAGCCATTGCTCGTGGACAGGCAGCTGTACACACAAGTCGAAAGTCGGCCGGTTTCTGCAGATATACAGGCCAAGTGTACATGGCCTTAGGCTCACATGAAAGCATGTTGACAAATTTCAAGCATTATAACATAACACTTTTTTCACCCCTTCAAAAGAGACGCCGCACACCTGGGCACACTTAGAACTGCAATTGAGCTTAACGCATTAGTAGAGTTGGGTGTAAATCGTTGACACTCCTAAATAATAACTTTTTGAATTGAAATAATGCCTTGAAAGATTTACCTTTTGTTTCCATTATTACTGGAAAATAGCAGTGCACTGCCTTTGTCTAGGTATTACTGTACCTTGAGCCTCATAGCTATATACAGTTAGGTCCATATATACTTGGACACAGGCACAATTTTCATACTCTTGGCTCTGTATACCACCAGAATAAATTAAAACGAAACAATCCAAATGAATTTGAAGTGCAGACTTTCAGCTTTAATTCAAGGGGTTCAACATAAATATCAGGTACAAATTTTAGCAACTGCAACCATTTTTTATATACAGTCCCTCCATTTTCAGGGGCTCAAATGTAATTGGACAAACGCATATAATCATAAATAAAATGTTCATTTTTAATATTTTGTTGAGAATCTTTTACTGGCAATGACTGCTTGAAGTCTGGAAGCCATGGACATTACCAAAGACTGGGTTTCCTCCTTTCTGATGCTTTGCCAGGCTCTAACTGAAGCGGTCTTCAGTTGTTCTTTGTTTCTACCTTTACTTTTTCCTTCAGCAAGTGAAATGCATACTCAATTGGGTTGAGATCAAGTGATTGCCTCGGCCATTGCAGAATATTCCACATCTTTTCCTTCAAAAGCTCCTGGGTTGCTTTTGCAGTGTGTTTTGGATCATAGTCCATCTGTATTGTAAAGCGCCGTCCAATCAACTTTGCTGCATTTGGATGAATCTGGGCTGACAGTATATCTCTAAACACTGCAGAATTCATCCGGCAATGACCCAGTGTCACTGGAAGTCATGCATACAGATGACGTTGTGTGCTTCGGATCTAGAGCTGTTCCAAGCCTTCCCACACTTTTTTCTTCCCATCATTCTGGTACAGATTAATCTTAGTTTCATCCGTCCAAAGAATGCTTTTCCAGAACTGGTCTTGCTTTTTTAGATGTTTTTTGGCAAAGTCTAATCTGGCTTTTCTATTCTTCAGGTTTATGAATGGTTTGCACCTTGTGGTGAACCCTCTGTATTTACTCTCGTGAAGTGTGCTCTTGATTGTAGACTATGACAATGATACGTCCACCTCCTGGAGAGTGTCCTTCACTTGTCTGGATGTTGTGAATGGGTTTTTCTTTACTATAGAGAGGATCCTGTGATCATCCACCACTGTTTTCTTCCATGAACGTCCATGCCTTTTTATGTTACTGAGCTCACCAGTGCGTTCTTTCCTCAGAATGTACCAAACTGTTGATTTGGCCACTACTAATGTTGCTGCTCTCTCTGATGGATTTGTTTTGTTTTTGAAGCCTTACAATGACCTGTTTCACTTGCATGGACAGCTCCCTTTGAACGCATGCATGATGTAGGTTCACAGCAATAGATTCCAAATGCAAATACCCCACTTAGAATCAACTCCAGACCTTTTACCTGCTTAAGTGATGAAGAAATAGTGAAGGAGTAGCCCACACCTGGCCATGAAACAGCCTTTGATTCAATTGTCCAATTACTTTTGGTTCCTTGAAAAAGGGGGGTGGTTACTCTTAAGAGCTATAATTCCTAAACCCTTCCTCCAACTTGGATGTACATACCCTCAAATTAAACCTGAGAGTGTGCACTTTGACTCCATATCCATTATGTAACTATAGCTTGAATATGTTTTGGTAAACACCTAATAAAAAAAAAAATTCTGCCTGTATCCAAATATATATGGACCTAACTGTATTTGCAATGTGAGATCATGTAAGGCATTACTGTCTCTGACTATTAGTCTCAAGATTTGGAGTGAGATTGTGATGTCACTACTGTGCTGCTCACATTCTCTGATGGAAAGTACTGTGTAAGCACATGAAGTTCAATGATCTCCATGCTTCTGCTTCATTCGGTGCATGTATCCCTTTTGGCTCCTCTTATGCTGCTTTCGAATATTCCCCAACAATTAATCAGATCATCAGATCACCAGTCATCTGAGCTGGGGAGCTCTAACAGAATGCAAAGTCCTGCCTCTACCAAGATGGCCATCTCCACACAGAGGAACAATGCACAACAAGGCATGGTAAGTAGGTAATGGGGAACCACCTGAAGGGAACCCACAGGAAATGTGTTACTAGTTCTCTGTATGCTTTTCTCAGATCAGGTTCTCTTTATAAAAATTATGGCTTTTTATGTGCATTTTTTAGGCTGGGGAAACTCATGCATGCACAAATGTGCCACAAGGATCATTCAGAGCCCACACCCTATGGCATATCTGTGCACAAGCAATATCATTCATGCCTAGGCAAGAAATTCTCTGAAGTGTTGCTTTGCAGCAGAAATAAAATGACAAAAATTAAAAAAATACTTTTCTATCCAAATCTGAGAATAGGAGGGGGGAGAAAGGAAGAGGCAGGGCAACATGATACCTACTTTAGGGCGAAGGTGCATTTAATAAAACAAAGTAAAGCAATCAAAATTACATGCTATAAAACTGCACAGCTTCACTGAAGCCAATTAGAGGTATGATTAATTTCACTTCAAAAATGGTACAATGCAAAAGTGCCATTTAGCCATCAATGTGTACCCA